CTGCAAACTGCAGTAGGCTGCACGCTACAGATACTGGGGCCGTTTCGACAGACTTCTGCAGTAGCCGGCATCAGCCATAGATACTCGGGGCCACTGGACAGACCATAGCTGGCCTCATGCTACAGATACTGGGGTCAGCTGGACAGACTTCCCTGTGGTAGGTCAGGCCGTGACGCTTACAGATACTGGGGCCACTGACAGACTAGTTGGTCTCATGCTATAGATACTGGGGCTGACAGATCGTAGTAGGCTGCAGGCCACAGGGATACTGGGGCCGCTTGACTGGACTGTAGTAGGTTTCACTACACATACTGGGGTCAGCTTGACAGACTGTAGTAGGTTTCCATCAGCTACACATACTGGGGCCACTGACAGGACTCGTAGTAGTCATCTCGCTACAGATACTGGGGGTCACTGGACAGACTGTAGTAGGCTGCACTACAGATACTGGGGCTGACAGACTGTAGTAGGTCTCTGCTGCAGCAAACAGTAGGCATTGACACAGATCGTAGTAGGTCCTATGTGATCACTACTGGCCAAATTCATCGTGAGTAATCAGCTACAGTAGGCACTTCTCCGACAGATTGTCGTTGATCGCGATGCTAAGCAGCTGGATAAGGCACTGACAGACTGTTGTCGGGCCTCAGTTACTGTAGGCTCCCGACAGACCTGTTGTAGCCCCCCAGCCACTGTAGGTGGCACCTCGACAGACTGTTGTAGGCTCCTCAGCTACAGTAGGCCCCTGACAGACTGTTGTAGCCCCTCAGCCACTGTAGGCACTTCGACAGACTGTTGTAGGCCCCTAGCCACAGCAGGGCACCTCGGCCAGACTGTTGTAGGCCCTCCCAGCTACTGTAGGCACTCTGACACACTGTTGTGGTGGCTCCCAGCTGCTGCAGGCACCTCCAGACAAGGTCAGAGGGTCTCAAGTGTGATTTTAATGGGGAAGACCTTGACTGGGAAAACGCTCCCTCATCTAGATAATCCTTTTACTCAAAGTGGTGCATCACAAAACATGATAATTATACTCCCTTTAGTGCAGGTCCACCTAGAATTCCTGTTCTCAAGCCCTGATGATACAACAAGTAACAAGTGATAATGTTCAAACATCACACTGAAATATATGCCAACAATATATATAGAAAACAACACTAGTTATACACAACACTCACACAGGATATGACATGGGACTTGGAATGTTTTCATCACAACAAAATGAGAGAAGCCTTTGTAGAGCATTTCCTGCACATCACAATGTGTTCTCAAGAAGGGAGTGGACTGCTGAGTCTCAACAGTAAATCCACTTTGATATAACCTACGAGAAAGGATATGGATAAATAATCAGGACAAACAATACCTTGGCTACCGTCCCATTCAAATCTGATGAATTCATAGACCAAAGATGACGCCATGACTTTCGATCACAAATAATAATATACTCTTTTCTCCATTCTAACTCATGCAATGTCAGATTGATAATTATCGCTACTCCGTTTGGGATTACACTTTCTCAGTAAAATAGTTGTTTTAGGATGAGCACACTCACCTGGTACACACACGCCAGTGTCAGGCACCTAACCGGCCAGCACATTGCAGACAGCGATCTAACACACTCTAGCCACCACGGCTTCCACAAAAATGGAAGGCTGGACAACTGGTAGTCTAGATCACTTACTACTTTGTGTAAATTCCCTCTGATAAGTGTTAATTAGTAAGGTTCCCACAACTGAAAAGCTTCATGAATACTCAATGCCATTTAGAAAGAAGTCAAATGTAATCGTAATATCAATTACTAAGACATATATATATATATATATATAAATGAAACATTATCTCAAGAAGTCTACAAACCTCTACAGAGTGCCACCATAATAAGCTGGAATAATGCTGAGTTCGGCATAAAACAACCCAAACAAACTACAAACCACAGTTACTATATTTCTGCTTTAAACTTCATTAGTAAATCATCTGTAGATCTCAACCGCTTTATATTGCAAATGAACAAAGGAAATCGAACTCTTTGAACCACTGGGTTATCAAACCTGATATCAGGGCAGTAAAATTGATAAAATTATTTTAAACAATCCCACAACTAAAATTGTTGAAGCAATTAAAAACATTTCAAAGTGTGGAAACATTTTTAAAACAGATCAAATTAAAAATAGAATCTAAAATAATATTAAAATAAATCTTCTGAATTATTCCTTAAGATTATACACTTTCACAGGAGTGAGGGGTGACATCGGAGGAGGAGCTGGGCCCTTAAACAGCTGGGAACAACATCAGAAATTGTTACATAATTACAGAAGGCCAAAAATGTCCCCAGTCACAGACATTTCCGAAGCAAGCACATTTGTTGTGCTCATACACCAAGGGTCGGAAGAGGAGGGTGACTGGGTGGAATCTTGTCAAATGCATGTAACTCCTCGCGACTGGATTATAGTGAGTAACTAACTCTTTACTGTTACTTCGCTTAGCAGCAATTATCCAAGCAATATCATGGCGGGGACACTAGAAATGGGCTTCACACATTGTACCCATGTGGGATTCAACCCGGTCTTTTGGCATGATGAGCCTAACTTTTAACCACTAAGCCACCCTTAATCACTTCCCACACTGGATTATAAAGGATTGTTCCGCCACATTTAACTTAAGAAAAGCAAGGGAGCATTTTCAAAACAATAAATCATACATAATTATATTAGTTCTTTATATGCAGTACACCTTTGTTCTTGGTAACAAAACCGATTATGACTAATATATTTTGATATATATTAACCTCCGCCAATGATAAGGATAATGGTTTCATAATAATGATTTTATAACTGTGTTCTGATAGTTCCTTCCATAACTCTTCAATCCAATAAACTGGAGTGGGAAGATATTACTGGATATCTGCGGAATAATTCCTTCATGCAATACAAGGACAAATAAAGGAGGTAAAACATTTCCAATGATGGTTATGAAATAAGCCCATAAAACCAATCTTCTGCAAAATGAACTATTCCCTTCTGAACCCTCTCCCTAACTCCACATTAAATGAGAAAATTCCAGCACATGCAACTCAAATAATGAATTGTTGTGTTTCTAGGCTTGGAAGGTGTATGGAAAAAGCCAGGTCTGAAGGTAAGTCGAGATTCTGTCAGATTAATGCCATTAATAGTCCTGAACAAACAAATCATTATGCAAGCCAAAAAATGTTCTTACTATCAGAAGATGAAACAGCAAAATAAGATTAGGGGATGAAGTACTGGGAACACTGTGGTTGACGACAGACAAAGTTTCATTTTACTAAAACACTACTGCTATGAATCCATCACTACTACTGACAAAGGCAAGATTTAAGCAAGAGGTCCATGAAACAAACAAACTAAATGCAACATTAGCAATAGTCCAGCAAAACCATTCTAACTGAAGTGATGATCCCACGCGGACAAAATGAACTTGTTTTCATCCATTGTCCTGGTGAAACTACCAGGTGATTACTGTAAGTTGTATAAGCTCGAGGGTAATAATCGGTCTGATGTACACCTCTTGTAGCAGTGTCACCCGAAAGCTGGTAGGCTCCTATAATAAAAAAGGCGCACATCAGAACGTGTGATAACCTACGGAAATGTTTACAAAGGATCTTATCCGCCCATATGTTGAATGTGGGCAAAATATCATTCTTATTTTATTTTGAAGATCGATAAGCTTCTATATTGACTATATGACATGTAAAACAAAATGACGCCTGCCTCCTCAACTGGATCTTTAAAATCTGTGAAACATATTCTGACAAGCTTAAAACTGCTAAGGTAAAATGGTAAATTAAGTCTATGCTGAGTGTGAAAACGGATTCAATGTATACCATGGTTTGGGGCCAAGCAGTGTGAAAGTCGTCCGTAAAATAAATATATATATTCAGTGAACTAAAATAGCTTAATCGAAAGTTTTTCGAACTCGCACTGCATGCATTATATACTCATGACATCATAACACATCAAGTACCGCAATACAGTCTCTTGGCTGAGAGTTTACCGGGTGAGCTGGCAGCCGGGTGATATTTATTTTTAAATTCAGTTATTGTACATGAAGATAAGGTAATGTCACTTATATCACCCCAATACAGAGATATTCTGAAACCTTCATAACCGGAGTGTCATTGATATAGGTGTACCCAAGGTCGTGATAAGCGAACACTTTTTAACCGCTAGGCTACCCCCACCGCCTCTATTTTAATATGAAGATAAGGTAATGTCACTTACATCACCCCAATACAGAGATATTCTGAACCTTCATACTGTCATTGATATAGGTGACCTAAGGTCGTCGCAGGTTTAACGCTTTTCAAATCAAGCGAGGCTACCCCTAATCACCTCGAAGTTTACATGAAGATGCTAAGATAAATGTCACTTATATCACCCCCAATACAGAGATATTCTGAACCTTCATACTGTCATTGATATAGGGTGACCCAAGGTCGCGATGCCGAACACCTTAACCACTAGGGCTACCCCAACGCCCCTATTTTACAGGAAGATAAGATAATTCGTCACTTCTTTATATCACCCCAATATACAGATATTCTGAACCTTCATACTGTCATTGATATAGGGTGACCTTAAGGTCGTGACAAGTTTAACGCTTTAACCGCTTAGGCTACCCTCTAACGCCTCCTATTCTTACATATGGAAGATAAGATAATGTCACTTATAGGTCTACCCCCAATACAGACATATTCTGAACCTTCTATACTGTCATTGATATAGGTGACCCAAGGTCGTGGATAAGCTTAACACTTTAACTTCGCTAGGCTACCCCCAATCACTCTATTTTACGCAGGAAGATAAGATAATGTCACTCTATATCACTCCAATACAGATGCATATTCTGAACCTTCATATATGTCATTAGGTGGAAGTGACCTAAGGTCGTCGATAAGCGAACAATTTTAACCGCTAGGCTACTCCCACCCCCTTTGACAATGGCAAGACAAAGGTCAATGATGGGACAAATGGAGCAATACATGTGACACAAGATCACTCGGATACATGGACATTAATAAGATCATCGACAATATTACGTGACACACAAGATCACTGACACATACGTGACCACACAAGATCACTGACACATGCATACAAGATCACTGACACATGCTTACACAAGATCGGTTACCAATACGCGCATAATAAGATCACTGGACACATGCATAATAAAGATCACTGACATGTGTGACAATAACACACTGGCTATTACGTGACACAACATCACTGACATGCAACACAAGATCACTGACACATGTGACACAAGATCACTGACAATATACGACATGTACGACCAACTGACTAATACGCGCTACGCAAGATACTGACATACATGCAACACAAGATCACTGACATTGATGACACTGATCCGCTGATGCCTTCCTGACTGGGTGAGTCACTTGACAAAGATTACCCAAGGTAATTCTTACATCATCAAAAAGGCACACAAACTACAAATACTCCACAAGATATGATGCAAGGTGCAATAATACTGGTACAAGCTAATATCCATACAACCCAGCACACCACCAGGCACAAAGACAACTTCAAATGGTGAGGGACTGTCATAGTTCCAACCTCCTCTGTTGACTAACAATGTAACCTAAAATATTTGTTTTTGTTTTCCAATTTCATCCAATTCTTATACAAAAATTAAAAAAACTTCTGCATTTTATGTTCATAAAACTAAATGACATATTTCCTTCCAAAATCCATTAAAATTCCAACTAAAAAGAAACAACGAATATACTTGTGTTGATAAACTGCACCTTCATTAGTAATAAAAAAAAACTTCCACCTTTTGTGTAGCTTAATAAAACTTCCACCCTTTTGTAAAGTAATAAAAACTTCCACAAAAAATATATATATCTTCCTAGAAGGAATTAATCAAATAGAATATAAGGCTTAAGCACTCCCTAACTATGTATCTAAACATAAAATGGAAGTATTGATTTAATAAATAAATATTTTAAAAAAACAAATGTGTGCCAACAAAAATATATTTTCAATAAAAAAGATGTTTCATGTATTTAAACATAATGGAAGTATTGATTTAATAAAAAATATTATTTTAAAAACTAATAATGCCAACAACAAAATATATTTTCAATAAAAAAGATGCTTTATGTGTATTTAAACATAATGAAAGTGCATTGATTTAATAAATAATATTATTTTAAAAAACTAATGTGTGCCAACAAAATATACTTTCTTAAATAAAAAAAGAAGTTAATGCCATGTTGAGATGTTCAAACACCTACCTCCAGTTTCTTTGAGTAACAGTACATCTAGGGCTTCTTGAGTATAAGCAATCCTCAAAGCGTATTTCTGATAAAAATAAATTTGTAACTTCATTCTGTAAATATTATTAACTCTATTTAAAATCTTGTCATCATGATTCTAGATGTCCTCAAACCCTCATTGTAAGTGCTAGCCATGGAGACCTGGCGAAAACGTAATCCAGGGTTAGAGACAAACAACAAAGGGAATTTCTGAAAAACCCCAACATCATGTTGTGCGCTAATACAGGTGCTGCCCAGTCACCTGCTGTGCCTCATCTTTCAGGTCCTACGTTTCAGCGGTTGTATCTACACTGCAATGTAGCCAATGCTCGAAAGTGCATCGCATTACCATTGTATATTGTTCCATTTAACACTGACTGGACTGAACTACTCTACAGTCTTCTTAGTCACAGCTTGTGGTGATTCCTTCCTTTACATTTTTTAATTTTCACTGAAAATAAATTCTCATAACTAAATGTGTAGATAATTGCGTACTCTGCAATAATTTGATGTAAGGTGCGCTTGTAACTTGGCTAGACTGGATTTGGGTATGCCATTGTGGAAAGCATCCTGCCTTTTGTGATCGTAAAACTGCAGCACCTGTAGAGAGGAGCAGCTAGCTGCTCGTGGAATCGAGATGAAAGTTGTAATCCATGTAGCTTCGCATGATTTGCTTAACGCTTTTAACCATTATCAGGGCACCCCCACCACACCCCTGGGACTACCATAAGAGGTCATCAGACTGCTAAGCAATCAGTACGTAAAGTGATCCAGTCATATGGATGATAGATTTTACAAGGAAATATCTCAGAGCCCTGGTGGAGGTGAGTTCGCCCAGAAATGTCCGTGAAATTGATGGTGATCCACATTTGAGCTAATAATGAGGTTTTCTGACACAAATGAGGCTCTGACTGAACATGAACTTTGGAAACTGGAAACACATCATCTGTGGGGTATAAATGGGCTCATAGCAACTTTTAAAATAAATATCTCAAGCACATGCTTCATTCGGCTTTGTTTGCAGTGCTGTGTCACTGGCTGTTGGTCCATGTGGAGGCTTTAAACTTTCTTGTGGTCGGGTTTCCATCTCACAGAAGGTATGCTCTTGGACCTTGTGACAAATGTCTTCACTTCCTCCATCGCCAAGTTGGGGCACAGCGGAGATATTTCTGAAAATAGACAGGATTACATTTAGTTCTGGTCAATAAAATGACCTTTTGTGATCCATTTACAAACCATATTACTATTGTACTCATTATTCTGAAATACTCTTAGGTGTGATCAGTTGTCCATCTCGCTAAGGCCAAGAGGCAGGAGTCCACAACTCCCTTTGCTTCCAGTAACCCCATCTTTGCTGCTCCAGCATGAGTGAGAGTGAGTCAGTTTAGTTTTTAATTCCGCGACTCACAGCAATATTCCAGCTATATATGTAAATAATTCCAGTCCTGGACTAGATAATCCAGTGGTCAACGGTTTGAACATCAATCTGCTTAATTGGGAACTCTCCCACTGGCGACATGTGTCAACTAAGTCAGCTTAGCCTGACCACCCGGACCCGCTAGTTGCCTCTTACTGCAAGCATGGGTTACTGAAGATCAATATTCTAGCCCAGACCTTCACAGGTATTGTTACTCTAGCAGTGGTCATTGACCTTTTGTGATGGAAGCAACGCTTAACTGGCCATTTTGGTAAGGCTTGTGAAGCCAGTTACAGCTAGCCAGCCGCCACTTAGGCCAACGGTTGGTGCTGGGCACAGCCACTGGCAGCAGTGGTTGCTATGGATAACTTCAGCAGTTATGATTAGATCAATATACTTTAGCTCCTGCAAACACATGCAGACCTTTGTGACACTTTAAACCACTCTGCCATTGGGTTGTTTCAAGCATACGCATCCCCCTTGTCCGGAATGAAGCAAAGGTTCACGAGGCCAATGTAGATGGTGCAGCATACACCGAGATAGGGTTTGCACTCTGAATTGCCAAATGAGGTCCCTAAGTCGGAAGGTCTACATGCAGGAGTGCCATGCTATCACAGAACAGTGGCATAGCTATGGGCCCGGAGAAACAAGCAGCCAATGGCTTCCTTGCAAACTGGTTTGTGCAACAGATATGAGATTCTCCTGATAAACTGAGTCCAAGCACTGCATATGTTCACCACCTTCTACAAATAACTTCAGCCATTGGTTCCAGGTAATCTTCTGGCTGTGCTGGAATGATCCTGTAATTTACAACCCATCTTTGACCAAAAAGATAAATTATTATTTGAATATGAAATCTTTAAATGTAATAATAAGGCAGAATCCATGACAGTTCATGGCAAAACAGCTGGTTAGATGTCAAACATCAACAACACATAAATGTAATCACCTATTCTAGTGAACCGCCTCCTCGTAGTGCGGGAGTTAGAGCGTCCTCACCTCGAGAGCTTTGTGCTGCTCGCAGATAGTCTGCCTCTAATCGCCATACCAGTGCTGACGCTTAAAATAAGGTACTCTCGCTCCCTGCCCGGCGCTCGCATTACCGGGTACAACAAGGACTGGTCGCCTCAGGAGTCAGTATAATGTAGTCTGAGTGGGGTATTCATGCTTCACTGCGGCATGGTATCGCAGTGGGCTAGCACTATAAAACCAGCTTCCAGTCTGGGCTAGTACAAGCAGCCGCAACATACACATACACATCGCGATGCATCGCCAAAGTCATATGGAGTTTAAATATTCTCTGCTGCTACGACGTGAAAACCCAATTTCACCCCAATTTCACCTGCACCTATTCTTAGTGAGTTCATAATCATCCATACAGACACATGTCAGATATAGGAATTCATATGATGTGGGATGATGAACAACGACTTTGCAGAAGCCAGCTGCCTAGAATAAACAGTTAGCATTCTGACTCCTCAACACAAATGACTACAGGAGTCCAACAACATTGTAGGCGGGACATAACTCTGCATGGCAAATTGCAGTTCCTAATGGCACTTTGACTAGGAGTGAGTGAGCTTCTTAGTTTTACGCAAGACTCCAGCAAATATTCCAGCTATATGGCGCAGGTCTGTAAATAGTCGAGTCTGGACCAGACAATCCAGTGATCGTGCATGAGCATCGATTAAGCGAATTGGGGAACCGGATGACATGTGTCAACCAAGCCAGTGAGCCTGACCACCCGATCCCGCTTAGTCGCCTTTACGCACAAGCATAGTCGCCTTTATGACAAGAGAATGCTGTCAAGCTGGAAGGCCTATTCTACCTCGGATCTTCAATGGTCGTGACTTGACTAGGAATAAACACAGATAGAAAAATATGAAAAATACATACTCTTGTCCTTGAGGACATGCATAACTGCATCCATCATTTCCCCTTGTTTTGTTTGGACACCTTTATGCATGGTCGACGAGAGGCGATGGGTAATCCTTCCCTTATCACACACTTCTCGCCTTTCTCCTGATTTCAAGAGGGGCCTTCCATGGCGTCGTGACAGAAACACAAGGGGCATGTCCTTCAACTCGATGTAGCGCCTGAAACGCAAAACCAAACCCTACCCCGGTAATTGTGAAAATGTAAAGATTATTTATATTTGTTTACTTACTTATCCTGCATACCTCCTTAACACATTTACTGCTTGTTAATGACAAATACAACAAAGCTGTGAGAGGTCAACAGACATTGATGTTCCAACCCAAAAAGTTACACCCTACATAAAAGTTACTAAAATGAATGAACACAGTGAATGTTCTAAATTACTGTAAGCATTGGAAGCTAGGGCCCTTATTCTTTCAAAACATTCGCAGAGTCTCTAAGAATTTCTATCTTTGATCGTGAGCTTCAATGTGTTACTTAATGGACTTAGAAGTTTGTAGGGCTACTCTGAAGCTCCAGACTGGACTAGTTTGGTAATTTTAGGGATCATAAATACAGCATGTTTTAAAAACTGCTTGTCTGTGTATTTCTTTGACTATACTGACCTTGATCTTCAAAGTCAGGTAATCACAAGCCAGAATATCACAAGTGTTGTAAATGAAGTGACATTGTGTCGCTTTTAACTGATATCATTTTACACCCCAAAGCTGTGAGTCATGGTAACTGTTGCTGAATGAACAAATGTTGTTATTCTTGAACTAACAATCACAACAACACTTGGTAGTTTCAGACATCACAGTCATGAAGTACCCACTGAACCAAGAGGTGAGGTGGGAGGTGAGGTGGAGGTGAGGTGAAATTGGGTTTAGCCGGCCGTTTGAGAATATTTTGCTCATAAGATGACGCGGCATGCGCAGGTGTATGTGCAAAAGGCTGTTTGTACTAGCCCAGACTGAAGCTGGTTTTATAGTGCTAAAGCACACACTGAGATACCATACCGCAGTGAAGCATGAATACCCCACTCAGACACACATTATACTGACTCCGAAGCTGACCAGTCCTTGTTCTACCCATTAATGCCGAAAGCACCACAGGGACCAACAAGTACCATATTTTAACGCTCTTCGGTATGACGCTTCGTCGGGATCGAACTCGCGGACCTTCCGCTTTCTGGACGGGCGAATCCACTCACTACAACGCTGGAGGCGTAACTGGAACCAAGAACCAGTGAAGGAACTGAAAGTATGGATCATCACTTACAACGCTTCCAGAAGTGACAAGGATTTCAAACATGGCCTCGAGGACACCGGATTCACTTTCCCCAAACCAGAGCAATATTTCATGGCCTCGGAAGAAACTGTACTTCAACAATGAATTGCCAAATTAACAGATCATGGATACAAAATGATGTTCCTCTTAATGAGACAGACCCCAACAAGATCGTGTTTTGTTCCTTATAGATATGGTTTGGGTGAACAAGGTTAACTACAACAGACACGTCACTCATAATGAAACAACTCTCATCACATTATTATTACTTCACTGAACTGGCACAGAATCTCCAGGCTTGTTTTCACAAGAACAACTGACTTACCTGACGAATTCTCCTGATGGGTCAATAATGCGGCCAGAACTAACTGGACAAAACATTTGAGCACTGCAGAATACGCTCAAAGGCAGAGCTTGATACCCACATCCAGTTTCCAGCACATACTGACCAATCAGCATCAAGGAGGTACGTCAAAAATGTCTGAAATAAGACAAAAGGTTTTCATGACCATTAATTAAAACAAGAAGACAAAGTCATCAATATCCCCCGCAATGGCAAAATACTCTTCATGATTATGTCTACAAGTTATGATTATGTCAAATATTTAGGTGTGTATATAGAAAAGTGGAAGGAGAGTATTGAAAGGTTTTTAAAGTTCTGCTCCAAAAAGGAGCACTATCACCCATTTCAGTCTAAGTCAAACTTGTTGCCATGGAAATGCCAAAAATATTTTATTCAGAAATCCAAAACAACCAAAAGGCACCAGTACACCACCAGACCAATCTATGTGCCAAGTTTGGTGAAGAAACATTGAGCACAACCACCAATTTCGGTCTAAGTCAAACTTGTTGCCATTGAAACGCCAAAAATATTTTATTCAGAATTCCAAAACTACCAAAAGGCACAAGTACACCACCAGATCTATGTATGTGCCAAGTTTGGTAAAGAAACATTGAATGGTTTTAGAGTTCTGCTCCAGAAAAGAGCACTACCACTAATTTCAGTTTTAGTCAAACTTGTTGCCATGGAAATGACAAAAATATTTTTTTTCAGAATTCCAAAACTACCAAAAGGCACCAGTACACCACCAGATCTATCTATGTGCCAAGTTTGGTGAAGAAATAGTGAACGGTTTTAGAGTTCAGCTCCGGAAAAGAGCACTACCACAATTTCAGGCTAAGTCAAACTTGTTGCCATGGAAACGTCAAAAATATTTTATTCAGAATTCCAAAACTACCAAAAGGCACCAGTACACCACCAGATCTATGTATGTGCCAAGTTTGGTGAAGAAATATTGAACGGTTTTAGAGTTCTGCTCCGGAAAAGAGCACTACCACCAATTTCAGTCTAAGTCGAACTTGTTGCAATGGAAACGCCAAACATATTTTATTCAGAATTCCAAAACTACCAAAAGGCACCAGTACACCACCAGATCCATGTATGTGCCAAGTTTGGTGAAGAAATATTGAACGGTTTTAGAGTTCTGCTCCGGAAAAGACAAATGTGCACAGACGGACGCACGGACGCAGTCCATTTTAATTCCCCCCACAAAACGCGTTGCGGGGGATAATAATAATTAATTAATAATTAGTTCATTTACATTGCGCTAAATCCACACGGACAGCATGCTCATCGTGCAGACAGTTCATTATTACTCTGGATAACTGAAGCTGTCTGTAAGGCACTAGCAGGTTATAGTCACCCGACTTATCCCAACAGGTACCCATTTTCTGCTGGGTGAACAGAGGAAATTCTGAACAAACTCACTTGCCTAACGTGAGACCACATGTATCACATGTGTTACCAAGTCTGCATGAACCGACAGCCGATGTCAAAAGCAGAATACAGACTTACCTTGTATTATGGACAAACACATTATCAAATTTCTAGTCCAGTCTTTGATTTTCTTGGTGATGCTGCCTAACACTACTGCAGCATATATAGAGTGCTCAAACACAATCAGCCTGTTATTTGTATTTTCAGTACATTCTTTAAGTAGTACCCTACTCCACCAGGCTCAATCCTGTTAATGTTTTAGATGTTATAAATGACTCTAAGAATCCTCAAGCTGTCTGTGGCAAAGGATATTCATTAATGGCCTGTACAAAATTCATAATTTCCCTGTCTAAGTTTCCATGATACTGATAGATCTGAAGTGCCAGTACAATTTCACAAAATGCCAAGACAAAGAAAGAAATGATGTCTTTCAGGTTGCATGTAATATGGAATAACAATGTTATCAAAATATCAAAGGAAGTTAGTTATATTAAGTGAGTTATACTACTTCAAAAGTCTTGTCAGAATTTTCTGATATTATCGGATATACTGCCTCAAAGTATTGTAGAATATACTGCCCCTAATTATTGTCAGATATACTCCCTCAAAGTATTGTCGGATATACTGAGTCAAAGTATTGTCGGATATACTGTCAGATATACTGCCTCAAAGTATTGTTGGATATACTGCCTCAAAGTATTGTTGGATATAAGGCCTCAAAGTATTGTTGGATATACTGCCTCAAAGTATTGTCAGAAATACCGTCGGATATACTGCCTCAATGTAATGTTGGATATACTGCCTCAAAGTATTGTCGGATATACCATCGGATATATTGCCTCGCAATATTGCCAGATATACCGTCGGATATACTGCCTCTCTAAGTATTGTCGGATATACTGCCCTCAAAGTATTGTCGATATACTGCCTCAAAAATATTGTCGGATATACTGCCTCTAAATATTTTCGAAAGGTTATACTCCCTCTAAGTACTGTCGGATAGGATATACTGCCTCTAAGTATTGGTGGATATACTGCCTCTATGTATTGGCGGATATACTACTTCTAAGTAGTGTCGGATATACTGCCTCAAAGTACTGTAGGATATACTGCATCCAAGTATTCAGGATATACTGCCTCTAAGGGATTTAGGATATACTGCCTCAACGATTGTAGGATATACTGACTCAAGTCCCTCCTCCCAGTTGATCCACAGATCGCCTCGAGTGAGGAAGCAGGCGACGCGCGCGCGACACACACATGGTGGATCCATCCCTCACCGCGAGCTGCCTCCATACAGGCTGCCAATCCAGGGAAACCCAGTCATCCCCTGAAACACAACATCGCACACAATCACACAGGCTTCATTTCATACTATCTAAATCTCATAATCCTCAGACCTGGGACCTATGCCACAAAACAGTCTTAACACTGAAGTGATCATAACTAACATATCTTAATACAGGCTCAGTGATAACCTCAGCACTAAGATCACTTTGTGGAACTAGGTTCTGGCCAATGTATAGTTCTCGCCAACATGCCGATATACAGTTGACAATACACACAGAAACCGCCCCACCTGCAGGCCTCTGTAGGTAAATCTTGCTGCCATATTATATCACAGGTCTTACAATGCTAAGGAAATACCCAATGTCTTAACCTGAAGGACACCCTCACACCTTACACAAAGATTCATGCACTTGATATTAGGGGTGGGTATTGCATAGAATTTTCATATTGCGATATATTGTGATGCAAAAGCATATATTGCGATATGTATCGCAAAATATTGCAAGAAGTATTTGTGAACAAATAAATACTTATAATGGAGTTAGTGCTTGATTTATAAAGCAAAACGCGAACAAAAATCACTATGTTTGATTAAGCTTTAGTAACAACTTTTAATCATGACAAAATAAAATCGTAAATAGTATTTGGCACAAATGATACAAGTTAATATCCTAACATTTCAGAGTGTTACTTAACTTATCCGAATGCAAGTCAAAATACCGGGTTTTCGATCACGTGATCGCACATGCGATCGCTTTCATGTCTGAACCGGTTATATTAAGCAGCCCTACTTGATATAAACAGGGCTACAATTAATGACAGTGCACAATCACCATCCACAACGTAAAAGAACAAGATAAAGACTGAAGTTGAGACAAATATCAGGATGCATGATATACAGCACATGGCTCTGTTAATCATAGCACATAGTTACTGCATGTCAAATTTCAGTACAATATATTCAGAAATGACTGGACATTGATCAAAACCAAGAGTTTCAATGTGTCAGCCATTTAAAACATGACTGGACCATAGTGAAAGAGCTGCTGTGTTGCTTTCAGCAGGGCGGTGGGTAGCCAAGTGGTTAAAGTGTTCGGCACACGCCTAAAGGCCCGGTTTGATTCCCTACATGGGCAAACTGTGAGAATTTGACAATCTTGGAATGAGTTATCTGGAAATCCCAAAATTTTAAAAAGTATATTTTGGCTTAAAACTGTTATCAAAAGTAAATTAAAAAAAGATATTTATCAGCAAACATGGATGTCAACAATTGAAACCTCCTCCAAAGCAACCACTTATAGCATTTTCAAAAAATCCATTTCTCAATTTTGAACCATACCTAACTTTCTTGCATTACAATAACTTGGTAATACTTTGAACTTCCAATCATTTTCTTCCAGTCGAGACAGGTAGATGGCTTACTTAATCCTGGTAAATGATAGAAAGTATACTATGTGTAACTTAAATTATATTGGTGACTCGAATTTCATTATTTAATTATATATCCGAAATTAGAATTAGAAAGAGAAAAATATAGCCAGAGGTATTATTATATTAGACCAAATATGTATAAAATGAATATCCTATTTTAACACCAAGAAACTAGGAACTTTAAGAAAACTTTCAATTTTTGTACAAAAAATTATGGCTTTATTTAAGAAATAATTTCAATAACTTAATATGTAACTAGCTCAATGTACATTGCACCTATAATAATGTTTGCATATACTTTTATGTTGTATAAATGTAAATATTATTTATGTACCTCTTATGCTGCAGTGTGCAGTTTGAGTGAATAAAGTTCAGTTCAGTCAGGAGAAGCCCATTTCTGGTGTCCCTCGCTATGATATTGCTGGAATATTCACTCACTTTCACAAGCAAGCCAGTTGCATCATAGCTTGTCAGCAGAATGTGGGCAGCTACGTCTCAGATATTGATCACTGACGTTAAACCCAAGAGCAAGGGATGGGTACGGTGTTGAGAAACCTAGAAACATAACCAGTCTGGATTTGAACCAAAGATCATGGCTTTCTGATGTGCCAAAGGGATGCAGTTGGATTTCGGTGCCTTACACAACACATCAAGTCTCAAGCCTGATGACATCAAGTCATGAAGCCTGAGGAGGCGTGTGGGTAGGCTAGTGGTTAAAGCGTTCACTTGTCACAATCGAAGACCCAGTTTCAATTCCCCACAAGGGTACAATGTGAAGCCTATGTCTGGTGTCCTCCACTCTGATATTGCTGAAATATTGCTAAAAAGCGTGTAAACTAACTCACTCACTCACTCATAAAGCCTGAGGTTTAAGATATGTAGAAAATGGACAAATGAACTACTGACTGGTAACATAACACCACAACAGTCAATGAAATCTTGTTCAGGTGAGCTATAACATGACAAAAGTTGTCGCATCCTAACGATGGCTTCAGCTGACCTTGACACTGGTTTCTAATGAAAGCCTACCTTTTCCCATTTATTGAAAACCTCTGGGTCTTTCTTCCATGGTATGTTCAGACAGATAGGGTTGTCCTTCATAGTGTTGTAGGCGATGTTGTTGACAGACATGGTGTAGAAGTATTCCCGCCAGATAAGCTGGGATGTTGCACCTTCTGGTAGCGGCTTTTCTGGACACACCTGTGCAAGTGAATATTGTTTTATGCCACAGTACTGCTATATAAGCTATAACATACTGGTGTGAAAATAACGAAGCCTTGGAAACGTGGAAACATCACAATTAACGCTAAACCCTTGTCATTGGCACATCAACATTCAGCAAAACATGTTGGAAACCAGTCCCAACGTGTCAGGTTTTATACAAGCCTTTTTCCCCTTCAGAAGCCAGGACAGCTGAGTCAGAAAAGAACACTCATAAACACACAGTGGTTAAAGGGCCACTGATCCAGAGCAATTAATGTTTCCAGCCAACAGTCTAATTACGAAACCTAGCTGCAAACTGGTCAGCCCCTGCTCCCTCGACCGTGACGGACGCGGGGACTGGGCTACTGTCCACCTTGGCAGAATTTCTTCAACCTATCAGTGGGACATTAGGAAGGGTGGATGCCAATCAGATACCGTTATTTGAAAATATCTGTGGTAGTTCTTATCTGATTGTAATAAAGTATCCCAGCAGTGTAGGCTTTTTCAGATTTTGAAATGCTTGGATGGTATAGTGAATGATCCAATTTGATCCTATTTCTGTGTTTTTTACCTCAATATTTAATCATGTAAAAATATGATGTCTATTATGTATGCTATGATATCAAAAACACACATTTGATATATTTGAATCCATAAACTAAACAACCCCACTTTGCCATTGCAAATTAAATCTGAAATTTTACTTAGGAACATTGGTATATACAGTTTTTAACTAAGTACACAGCAAATGCTTATATATATTTCTTATGTAACAATGAAGTTCCGTCAGATCCCCAAAACAGTGTCGGCCCATAAGTTGTGTTGTTTTTCAGGTAATCAAACTTGCATGCAATACAGCGACATTACTTTCTTGCTGTAACCCTTTGTTTGGTGGTAAATCTACACATGTTATTTGTCATCATTCACTTGATGGTCAGTTAATGAATTTATAAAAGGTATAATTAGTGATAACACCACTCAGATTACCCGACAAAGGTTCCCATTTGGAATTTCTTATGCCTGGAGTAAATACTCATCATTATAAATTGACGCCTGAGGTAATAATAATAATAATAAGGGTACTTATACTGCGCAATACTCCATACCACAAAGGGCATGCTCAAAGCGCCATACAAATGTTTAAAACAAACACATCAAAAGTCACATGAATCAGTATTGTAGTAAATATGAGCTTGGAGAGAGTTACTGTTTATATCGACTGAAAAGGTATGTTTTGAGGTTACGCTTTGAACACTTGAAGGGATGGAGCTGTAACGTGAATTTAAGTGGAAGTGAGTTCCATAGTGCTGCTGCAACTGAAGCAAAAGAACGGTGGCAAATGTATTACATCTTATGTAATATGCACATGGAAGTGCAGTAGAGGAATTATCAGCTGAGTTACAAAAACAAACATCGATCAAAGGATTAACCGATAACACGCTGATTGATTAATTGCTTTTATCCTGCACAGCCGGATTTGTCAAAAGGTAGTGTTTATGTATGTAGATTCTATACTGAATACACCCTGTCGTAAAAACAGCTTCCTTCCTTCAAAGGATTAACCGCCAATACATTGATTGATTGCTCATTATTGGCTAACTAAATTACTTTTTTAAAGAATGGCGGACAACATGCAATTAGTCGCCAGGTGTGCTATCTTGGGTGACCAATGGAACTATACACCAATGTGAAAACCTGAAACGATAGATCACTTTTTTCGCATTATTAGACTGTTAAAAGACACGATTACATGGAACAGGATACTTTGTCAGCTGCAGATGAATGGCATCTCATTCCTTTATGTGGATATTGATGGATACATTCCCTGAACAAGGTAATAGCCTGATATTGTTGCTATAACTTTAGTCTGTTTAAATTTAATATTTGCATTTTGTTTTTATGTATTTGTTATGGCATTCAACAGAATCCCTTTTTTTTGCTGTGAAGTGTAATGAGACAGACAACATACACTAGGTCGCACTCAGGGCGTATGTGTGAAATATGATACATGTTGGCAATCTATAAAATGTCTAGATATTACAATCATGTTATAAATTCACTAAGAATAAGCAGATCGTGTGTATTCTATTAAGTTTCAAAATGCATACAAATATGATAGTAAACTAATTAGGATTATAAGACAAAATATAAAGACGTACATTGACTTCGTTATTTCAGTCCTATTATTTTTTTATCACTGGCAGATGGTTAAACTTAAAACGTTTTCATTTGTTATCAAAATAATGCCATTTAATACAACATTCAAATTGACTAGCAGTGAACCCAAGCTCACTACTCTCCCCAAGACTCCCCATGCACTTAGTTAGCCTTACTTTCAAAACAATGCTATTATATCAAGCTTCTCACCAAATTCAAGGTCAAATTATTTCTGAAATCAAATTCTACATCCATTTGCGTTAACATTTTTATAAAGTCAATATTACTATGAAATCAAAATTTGACATCTTTGCCCACACAATTCTTTTTCATAGAGATCGTCCTTGGGGTACATATATGAAAAAGAATTATGTGGGCAATAACAGTACACAATCATAACATTGTGCAAACCAAACAGGCTCTGATTAATACAATGTTGAGAAACACACGCGAGTACGTTGTTTACATAGCAGTTTTACAAGTGTCTTGATTTAATAACATAATAATAATAAGAATAACATTCTAAAGTTTAATTTGATCTTTCATTTTTTTACGAATAATGTTTAGTCTCCTGAGCCCAGCGATAATCGCTGATGCAAGCAGGACCGATCGATTGAATGATTATACGATCAATCGCTCCAGCACTAGACCACACCATACACATTTCAACTCTTTCATTCATATAATACTTACTCTGAGATGAGCATCGCGTATCTCCCAGTAGAATTTACGGACCGAGAGGCACCCATACCGTAGATGAGGACTCATGCTTAGAGGTGGGTCAACAATGTTGGGTCGGGCCTGGTTTGGCATGACGAACCCCATTTTGAAAGCCTGTTGACAAGTCAAAACACACAATTAACTGTCCGTGATGATGACATATATTCTACTTGAGACAATCACCACTTCCACCATCATCACTGCCACCATAATCACTGTGATCAGCACCACAGATTTCAATACTGAGACATCACCAACATTACCACCATTTCACAATCACTTCTCCATTGCATCAGAGTTGCCACCTCAAGACAACTGCCACCCCATCACAATAACCACCTGTGTACAATTACCATCTCAATAGAATCACCACCCCATCCACCACCCCATCACAATAACCACCTGTGTACAATTACCATCTCAATAGAACCACCACCCCATCCACCACCCCATCACAATAACCACCTGTGTACAATTACCATCTCAATAGAACCACCACCCCATCCACCACCCCATCACAATAACCACCTGTGTACAATTACCATCTCAATAGAACCACCACCCCATCCACCACCCCATCACAATAACCACCTGTGTACAATTACCATCTCAATAGAACCACCACCCCATCCACCACCCCATCACAATAACCACCTGTGTACAATTACCATCTCAATAGAACCACCACCCCATCCACCACCCCATCACAATAACCACCTGTGTACAATTACCATCTCAATAGAACCACCACCCCATCCACCACCCCATCACAATAACCACCTGTGTACAATTACCATCTCTCAATAGAACCACCACCCCATCCACCACCCCATCACAATAACCACCTGTGTACAATTACCATCTCAATAGAACCACCACCCCATCCACCACCCCATCACAATAACCACCTGTGTACAATTACCATCCTCAATAGAACCACCACCCCATCCACCACCCCATCACAATAACCACCTGTACAATTACCATCTCAATAGAACCACCACCCCAACCACCACCTTCACCCCATCACAATAACCACCTGTGTACAATTACCATCTCAATAGGAACCACCACCCCATCCACCACCCCATCACAATAACCACCTGTGTACAATTACCATCTCAATAGAACCACCACCCCATCCACCACCCCATCACAATAACCACCTGTGGCTACAATTACCATCTCAATAGAACCACCACCCCATCCACCAATCCCATCAATAATAACCACCTGTGTACAATTACCATCTCAATAGAACCACCACCCCATCACAATAACCACCTGTGTACAATTACCATCTCAATAGAATCACCACCCCATCCACCACCCCATCACAATAACCACCTGTGTACAATTACCATCTCAATAGAATCACCACCCCATCCACCACCCCATCACAATAACCACCCCAACGCAATCACATTCACAATAATAACCTGTGAACAATTATCATCTCATGACAATCACCATCTCATGACAATCACTATCTAAACACAATCACCACATCATCACAATCACCGTCTCATTACATCCTCCCAGCTATTCCCATCACCAACTCCCTGTCACAAGGCCTGTAGCTCACCTTCTCCTCCACAGGGATTCTTCCTGCCAGGAGCTTTAAGGCCTGTGTCTCCCCTCCAGTGTACTGCTTCTGACATTCCAGGACATCGTTCTCCTTCTTCACACCTGCAACAGGTCACCAAGTCAGCACAGGCCTGTAGTCGTCACATGTCACATGATGCTTAACTTTTAAAAGGTGATCACAAAAAATGTAGATGTAGATGATGAGACATGATATGGAAGAACCCTGCAGGACCTTACAAAGCAATTTGACCTTTTAATATTACATATAATGATAAGTGAGTGAGTTTAGTTTTACGCCACACTCAGCAATTTTTCAGCTATATGGCAGGGTTCTGCAAATAATCGAGTCTGGACCAGACAATCCAGTGATCAACAGCATGAGCATATATCTGCGCAGTTCAGAACCATATATAATGACAAACATAATCCTTCAGAGTACAACACCTGATCAAAAGACTAACCATCAACACCAGTCTCTCATAACCAGTACAATATCACACACCAATGTCATGAACGTTAGTTTGGTAAATATATATCCTACCAAACTGCTCCACAGTAGGTATACAGAATCGGTTGTTGTGGTCTGGAGCCACAGGGAGGTTGATTCCAGTGAAGTCTGGGTCTGCCACTGGTCTCGGAGGAGGTCCCAGAATTGACGTCACCTGGTTAAACAGGCCAAAGGTCACCGGAGGACTGCCCTTGTTCAGCTCAATCACTCTGAAAAAACATTGAGGTGGAATTAATATTGCTTTGGAGGAAAGCCCAATATATATACAGTCAGACCTCGTATATCCGAACTTCAGATATCCTAATACCTCGGTTTCCTAACATTCTTCACAAAACGAAATTTTCTAGTTACAATTTACCATGTATAGTCAATGTTCAGTTTCCGTGATCCCAACAGTCAATTTTGGTAATGAAACAGCAAAATAAGTACAAATTTGCCTCTCAGATATCCGGTGACCAAGGCTGTTGTCGGCAAGATGTCTGATGTTTACCGCTCCTCAACAGTGCTCACTGCATTGACCTTTGATCAGTCCTATATCAAAACCCAAGGTCTGTTGTTGGCGAAGTATCAAAACACGAAGTCTATCATGTCTACCGTTTGTCAAAACAATGTGCTGGCTGCTAGTTAATTCATTGTTTATTGAATATTTATCACAGGGCGTGTAGGTTAATTAGAGAAGAAACAATTAAAGTTTGACATTGAGTTGACACTGATTCGAATTGTTGATTGAGTAAGCTTAATTAAGGACAGAGGTGTATGCTAGATATAGAAACAACACAAAGGCATGGATGACAGCAGAGCTGTTTTGTGATTGGCTGCTGTCTTTTGATTGACAGGTGAGGTCACGTGGAAGGCGGGTCATTTAGCTTGTTGACAATGCGGCTAGTCATAACTGTAAACATTCTGAAACTGACCAGCGTGACTGTCCATTTCCTGCCACCCAACACAACCGCACACATTCAGCCAGTGGATGCAATGGATTTGAAAATGTCTGCAACCTCACAAACCTGGAGCTGTTGCTAAAATTCCAAGCAGCAAATAACAACTCTGTCCGTCAACAATCATCAATCAAAGACTTTTTCAAGCTGATTTAATTTATGTTATGTTATGTTATGCAAGATGTTATGTTAAATAAAGATGTAGTTATGTTTCAATGTTGTTTTGTTTTCACGTGAAGCCGACCGCCTAGGTCCTGATTCAGATATCCGAATGATTCGTTTGTCCAAACATTTCAATAAAAAACCAAAGTGTTCGGATAAACGAGGTCTGACTGTATGGAGAGAGTGAGAGTGTTGGTTTACATCCCAGCTTTCATCACAAATCATTCATACACTTTTCTTTTCTAATCTGACAGAAGCACAGTTAACTCTCTGCAGCCAAAATACTACCAAACCTGAATTTGTAACTGAAAAGATATACCAGGAGGTCAGGCGTCATGAATATTTATGTCATGGTATATTACAACTAAGTCTTAGTTTACACTTTAGCGGCTTGTTCACACTCTCCAACTTACTCTCGTGGGTCCCATAATGTATGGCCAATCTCTTCAACAAATTCAATCTGGTTTTCCTCACAGAAATCTTTGACCTTCTTGTCTCGTTCAAACCAAATAGGCTCAGTGTCCTGTTCAAACGCAATCTGGGTAATTCCCCATTCCTGAAAAACAAAGTGAAAAAAGGTTTACTCATTTCCTTGATTTATATGCAAAATATGATCTTTTGACTTCTTCTGTACTTAATTTACAGAAAACATCATCTCTCTGTGTCTAGTGATTTCAGAGATAACACTTGAATAAGATCATCTACAACTTCTTCAACCTTTGTAAATATACATGTGAGTACCATATATTCAACCTTCTTGAGGTCCCTGATTCATGCTTTTTCAGAGATGAGTACACCAGGTACTTCAATATTTTTTCAGTTCACCTTATCATTAATTTGAGAATGCTTATGCTGATTTGTGTTCAGGCTTTTAGAAGTTGAAAAAAAATCAACTTAAATCACACCATATCTTGACACACAAAGAAAACATTGTACTTCTTAGACAATATTTATCAGACATATCCTCACTCGTATTTGTCTCTTTATTACTCTGAAATGTAGTGGAAACTTTCTGTGCTGTATTTGTATGTATGTGCTGTAGCTTACGAGCCAGGATAAGCATAAAATATTAGTTTTTCTCTAAATGATACACATCTTATCCTTATCCTCACTCTCACTATGTCCTTGAGTCTGGCAGAAGGTGATGGGTCTCACCTGCATGTGTTGATTCAGTCATCATCAGTTCTGGGTACCCCCTTGGGAACATTCTTACACATTCTCTAGGTCTAGTGTTAAAACTTGACACAACCGTTATCACTCATGCTCTGAATTACAAAGTAAAGCAAGGACTCACAGCCAGTGATTTACATGATTGTAGCAGTAGTCTATAGTATTAGTTAGTTGTGCTGCTAACAGTAGTCAAACATGGGTGATACCAGCAACACCTGTGCCAACACTCAGGTAATGATTTCCCTGATGGTCAGGATGGAGCAATAATTGTCAATGGCTCAAGGAGATGAAGCAGCTCTAACTCAGGGTATTTGGGGGAGACTGACAGAGGATCCAGCCCTGTTGCCTCATAGGCTCTGAAAATAACTGCCCTCATCCAGAATGAGATAATTGTTCTGGAGAATTCTGATAAATAAAATGGATAAATAACCGTCTCACGATGTTGTCCTTGGAAGATGGATGTAAAAGGCTCTGCTGGGCATAACAACAAGCCTTCAGTATTCTCTGATATCAGAATGGAAGAGGTTGGATCTGGTTGTCAAGGCAAGCTGATACTGTGCGAAGACATCTGATCTCTAAACAACATGAGCCAATGTATGTTCACCACTAACAAATCTGGTTGGAGTTTCGGAAATACACACAGGTTCAAGGTGGGAGCTCTAAACGATTTTGTTTATCTTTAAATCTGTAAGATGTCAAAAAGGCTAAGAATTCTGGAACTCCATTTAGTTATACTCCATTAATCATGGTAAGGATGACGCTGTTAGCTGCCAAGAAAGTACCATGAGTAGAATCCTGGAGTTCTTGTGTTCTGCAAGTTCTGACTGTTGTAAAGTGCCTGACTTGTGGCATGCTTGTCATCCCAGCAAAAGATCTACATAGTATACCTCAATTTTGATCCACTCTGTCAGAGGTAATATGATCCTGACGATGTTTAGGTGAGAGAGTGAGAGTGTTCATTTGTTTCTATGCCATTTCTGCAATATTCTAACAACACACCATCGGGTAACATCAAAAAGGACTTCAGATACTATATCCATGAGGGGAATTTAATCTCAATCTACGAAATGACAAGCAGAAGCTTAAACTTCCATTGCAGCTCAATCCCACTGATGGATGTGACAGTGACAATGATCCTCTAATGTTGACCTAAGATCCAGATCCCAACTGTCCAAATGACGTTGATACTGCATAACCTGGGAAAAAAATGGGTACCCGGTGGGATAAGTCATATATGACTACTACCCTTCTAACACCTCACAGGCAGCTTGGGTTATACGGAGAAATAATGTCCATCATGTTGTATGTGCTTAGAGCATGTTCAGCTCTATATAAGTGGGCTTGTTATTATCAATAATACTGTGTTAAGAGACACTTCTTTGCATTTAAATCCGGCATTGGTGAAGGTGACAATTTCTTCTCTCCTGATACAGCAAATAACACTGACTGAAGAAATGAGAAGTCTGTCAACAGGCCATATCTGCAATTTGTGGTCTCCATAAATAGAAGGAATTCATTCCAAATAGGATGACTCCTAATCTCAATCTGGCTCAACAAGATCATCACAGTCAGGTGCCATAGAAGAATTACCCTTGAAAAAACTCTTTCAATATAGATATAGATGGGTTAACTGAAGGGCCTGTGTTGTTGACTGGATAGATGTTCAATAACAGTGGCTACTAAGTCAGTGTTAGCAGATGAAGCAGTATAGAACACCGCAGGAAGAATGGAGTCTGTGCCTGAAGGCTGTGTGAAGCCTGAGGGACTGCAAGCTGAACGCACTTTGCAAAGGTCAGAGTTGTAGTCAAGACTGTATGGAGGTGGAAAGCTGCAAGCAGGTGTCTTCTCTGCCTGAGGTTGAAGGAGATTTCATGGAACCCTCCATAGATGATGACTTCATCTTTGTGAAAGTAAAAGCCTTTACGAAGGAGTGCATCTTTGTGGAAGGAGAAAATTTGGAAGAAAATACTGTTTTTCCTTCGCTAAGGCCTGAGGACTCTGGCAAGGATCAGATAAAGCCAGAGCTACAGATAACTTTTTGGGTCATTGAGTTATGTACTCGCTTGTGTTTATCTCAATTAGGTATCCTAAATATTTTTTGAGTAACCAAATAAATTGTACCCACCTCACACAAACTCAATTGGGTATTTTGCCATTTTCCATTAATTGTAAAAATATGATAAAGTTTAAATGTTGGTTTACCTGTTTGTTATTTATTATTGACCTGTAATATGAGAAACGATAAGAAAGACTGCAAGTTGCCAAGTTCATGTGCTGAAATAGAACCTCTCAATATACCTTAACATATTTGTGTGTACGCTTGTAAGATCAAACATATTGAGTATTTACAAAAATTCAAGCGTTCATGTACGCAATAGACATAATAGGAATTGAGTTTTCACATAAATATATTGCGTAATTTATGCAGATACACAACTTATCTGTACCTCTGTAAAGCAGCTATAGATTACATGAGCTGGCCTTCTGGAATCGAGTTCAGGATATCCCACTTCTACTTTGTCAAATCTTATTGCTTCATCTGAAACAGGTTGTTTTCTGATACTTTCTGTGTTCTTCTTTTCATGCAGGCTGTCTCTTATCAGGGATACAGATAAGGGGCGTACAGGTGTAATGAACGCCTAAAAATCAATGTAGTACGACATAATATAAGATTTCAAGCGTATCATGTACGCACATAAATACCTTTGTGCGTCTAACATTTAATTTCCATGCATATTTATCGTGCGAATGGAAATCTATTTTGGATCAATACTTGTTGTCAAGAGTATCTTTTGCGAAACGCGATCTGACACATGAGGAAACCCCAGCAGTGGGACACCCTTGTGTTGCCATGCACGATATGAGTCACTATTAAAAACTACACCGTTCCTATTTATATCCAGTTGGACCAGACATTTCGTGCATCACACGGTCACTCAGTTATTTCTCACTTGTCTTCAAATACATTTACACCAAACTAAAATCTCACTTTGTTACCGAGAACTGCGCATACATTGTGTCGGTATTATCGCATGCAAGGCAGTAACGTATACAATTAGAATATTTACAATTCATTTGAACAATAATAGACAAGAACAACAGAAATCTATAGATTGTGGGAAAATGAAGTAGGACGAAAAGTCATTGAATCGGATCCAGCATTTAACATGACATGTCAAAAACAAATTACAAGTTTCTTTGGAAAAATTGGGTCTGGGATCAGACGCATTTTTGACGACGAAATTAGTGGAGGAATTAATCAATGAACTATTACATTTGGTTACGTGACCAGTAGCCACAAGGGCGGGTACAAGTTACAGACCACGACTGAAAAGGGCTGGCAGAAGTCGTACCCATGGTTGGAAATAGTGATCAATGCATCGTCCAGACAAACCACATCACCAACTTGCTCACACAAAAACATGCCAGTACTCCTTCAAAATTCTGAGTACACCTCCACTTGCAATATGAGGTGTATGTACACCCACACCCCCAAAAGTTATCTGGAGCCCTGTCTTATGATGATGACATAGATCGTGAAGATCCCCTTCTCTTCTTCTCAAACTCCATACTGTGTACTGCATACAGGAGGGCTGCAAATTCTTCATCTTCAGAAGAGCAACATTAATACTTCATCTCAGCAGTCATATTTGACAAGAGCAAGGAAGTGAGATGGGTGAAAATCACAATCTGAAGTATAATGTGGTAACATTTTGCACACATTTGAATGATGAAACCAGGTATTTTAAGAGCCAAAACTAGGAATATTTTAAGTTGAATACCAAAATTATATAATGATAAGATGTTAGAAAGGATCATTTCCAGGGCTCCAGATAAAGGCCGTATCGGCATATGTACGGATATAAAATAAGAACGATACGGAAGGAAATAATTTAGAAAACGTAGCAGATACGCACCACAGCAATGGTGTACGGTATTAGAATCAATTACAGTCATATCTATCTGAAAAAGTATTGTTTTATTGTTTATTGACCTGTTTACACAAGAGTAGCAATGTTGTGGTGCACATATGAAATGAAACACAAGATTACTGATACGCCACTAAATTCCATTCAGTACTCTAAATGTACTCTTACTGTTTTCCAGTACTCCTACATTGAAAAAATAAGGAGTACGTACTCCTGATCATGAAAAATTATCTGGAGCCCTGATTTGAACGAAAAAATGTTGTTAATTTTGATAGAATGGTTCAGATTGCATAGCACAAGAAATATTTCCCAACAACGTTTTAGCGCAAAATCTGACACTGACGTGTCAACCGGATAGGTCATGTGACCTAGTGCCCCTGCATGGGACAAGGGCGTATTTGCGTGTAAAGTTATTAAGATCGTGGGGAACACAGCACAGGAAGTTTCCACTACAGAA